TTCTCAACCTTCCTAATGCCGGGACCCTTTCATACAGTTCCTCCTGTGATAGTGACCCCCAACCATACAATTATTTTCATTGCTACTTCACCACTGTCATTTTGCTACTGTTATGAATCGGGCCACCCTGTGAAAGGGTCATTTGACCCCCTAAAGGGGTTGCGACCCACAGGTTGAGAACCACTGCTGTAAATCTCTCTGGCCTTTTTTAGGACTTCACAGACAAGATGGCCTCCATCTTCAAGAACTTTGTCACCACCTACAACCGGACGTATGGGACAAAGGAGGGTGAGGGTCCAGCCTTGGTTAGACCTGTCGCAGCCAGAATGGGGGCTGGTGGAAGGGAAGGGCATGGGTGACCTTTCAGGGACCTCTAAGGCTTGAGTCTTTGTCCACAACCAGACAGCCACCCCAAGCACCTGGTCTCTTTTTCCCTATATCCTTAATCGAAAACCGTGTGGTTTTGCTGAGTCAGGGCACAGTGGGGTGGGGTGTGGAGGGTGGTTTTTCCTGAGGCAGCATGCCCTTCTACCCCCCATCCCCCATGCTCCCAGCACCTCGTGCCTGGTGCTAACACCCCAGTTACTCCCTTTTAGTTTCCCTAAGTCAGCAACAGCTCCCACTCTGTCCTTTCCACCCTACTCCACCCTAGGGCTGTGTTCTCTTTAAAAAAAAAAAAAAAAAGAACAGTGAGCCCACACACTTAACAATTGGGGTGCCGCTGCTTCCCCCCGCACCCCACCCTCAGAAACCAGCTGGCGAATGTCCGTCTTCACCAACAACATGATCCGAGCGCAGAAGATCCAGTCCCTGGACCGCGGCACTGCTAAGTATGGGGTCACCAAGTTCAGCGACCTCACAGGTAGGCCTGGTGGCCAGGGCCCTCTCGGATCTGGAGGCCACAGGGCCTGCCCCCCGAGGTCCCTGGCCAGGGCTGGCTTAGAAGACACCCCAACCCCACCCCGTCCCCGCTTGGCCCACAGAGGAGGAGTTCCGCACCATCTACCTGAACCCCCTCCTAAGAGAGGACTCTGGCAAGAAATTACACCGTGTCAAGATGCCCAATGATCCCGCGCCTCCTGATTGGGACTGGAGGCCGAAGGGAGCCGTCACCAAAGTCAAGGACCAGGTTGGTGTGTGGAGTGGCAGGAGGGTGGGCCAAGCTGGGCAGGGGTCCGGACTTGATTCTGCCCATCTATCCTCTGTCCCAGGGTATGTGTGGCTCCTGCTGGGCCTTCTCCGTGGTCGGCAACGTGGAGGGCCAGTGGTACCTGAACCAGGGATCCCTACTCTCCCTCTCGGAGCAGGGTGAGCCTCCCGCTCGGCCCCCCACCCCTGCCCAGCCCCTCCAGGGGGCTCCTCTGGACCGGCCTTCTGTCTCCTAGAGCTCTTGGACTGTGACAAGGTGGACAAAGCCTGCATGGGTGGCATCCCCTCCAACGCCTACGAAGCCATAAGGACCCTGGGTACGGACTGGGCGGACGTGGGAGCGGGGACAGGAATCAGGCTGAGGGAGAGAGATGGGGGCGGATCATGGAGAACCGGGTTCAGACCTTCACATTGATCCTTAGTGGCTAAAGTCCTTGAGCCAAGCAGCCCGCTCTGAGCCTTGGTGGCCTTGGCTGTGAAATGGGGTACAGCTTGTCACAACCCCCTCCCCCATAGGATTGCCTTGAGTGTCAAGTGAGGACACAGATGTGACTCTCTCGGCACAGGGCAGAGGCTCATAACACAGGGCCTGAGAGAGGTTCTGCTGCTCGGAGAGCCACTGAGCCCAGCTGGCAATGCAGCAGTCCTAGGTGCGCTGCAGTGGTGGCGGGGTGAAGGGGAGAGGGCCCGAGGAGGTAGCACCAAGGCCAGCCCAGGACCTGGGTGACTGGACACAGATGGTCAGGTGGGGACACACGCAAGCCCAAGTCCACAGCCAGGCAGGCGCCCCAAGCCAAACCCTCAGCTGGGAGGTCAATGTTGGCCATCGGGTCCATCCCTGCCACTGTGCTCCCTCCTTACTGCCCCTCCGAAGCCTCTGATGTGTTGGCCCTGGAACGGGGCCTCGGGCGGAGGGGTGCTGAGAAATAGGCCACATATTCAAGGGGTTAGCCCAGCCTCTGGTGAGGAGAGGGCTCCCTCACTACCCTGGAGTCCGTTCCAGCTCAGAGACCCCGTCGGACAGGATGGAACTGTATCGGGGGTGGGGGGTGTGTGTCCGATACTATGAACCGGTCCAAGGGCAGAAAGTCTCATCTTTTCTCGGGAGGCGAGGTTGTCCATTTCAAACTGCCGGCCTTGTGGTTAGCAGCCCCAGCGAGTGGTAAATGGGGGTCTACCTTGTGTCCGCCGACCCCACCCCCATCACTCCCCAGGAGGGCTGGAGACGGAGGAAGACTACAGCTACAGGGCCCGCATGCAGGCCTGCAGTTACTCTGCCGACAAGGCCAGGGTCTACATCAACGACTCCCTGGAGTTGAGTCAGAACGAGCACAGTGAGTTACTGGGCAGGCAGAGCCCCAGAGGGACGGGGGGCCCAGGCGCCCACTGACACCGCCCCTCCTGTCGCAGAGCTGGCATCCTGGCTGGCCAAGAATGGCCCCATCTCCGTGGCCATCAACGCCTTTGGCATGCAGGTGAGGCCTGGCTGGCGGCGGCGCCCCTCCTCCCCCTCCTTGGAGCGGGGGCCGCTACTCCCTGTTCTCCCCCCAGTTCTACCGCCACGGGATCGCCCACCCTCTGCGGCCCCTCTGCAGCCCTTGGCTCATTGATCACGCTGTGCTGCTCGTGGGTTATGGCAACCGTGAGTCCCACCACCCAGCCAGCCCAGGGCCTGGGCCTCAGGGCCCCGGGAGCACCTGCTGAAGGGCTGGGGCTACAGGCCAGGCTGCACCTCCCAGCCCCTTCCTGAGGGAAGGCTGAGCCTGGGGCAGGCAGGGTCCAAGCCCGTAGCTGCAGCAGGGGGTACACCATCTGCTGGTACCCCCCTGTTGAAGGGTGCAAAGTACTTGGGGCCACGTAGGGAGTTGGGGGCCCCTGACGCGGGGTTTACATGCTCCCCAGGCTCCAGCGACCTCTTCTGGGCCATCAAGAACAGCTGGGGCACCGACTGGGGCGAAGAGGTGAGTAGCACCCATTGGGGCCCTGGCCACGCTCCCTCTCCCCGAATCCTGCTGCTGACCTAGCCGCAGCCCCTCACCAGCCCTCCCTCACCCCTTCCCAGGGCTACTACTACCTGCATCGCGGCTCCGGGGCCTGTGGGGTGAACACGATGGCCAGCTCGGCAGTGGTGGACTGAAGTGCTACCAGCTCAGGACCTGGTGCCGACCACAGCTTCCCTGCCTCAGCTAGGGCCGAATGGCCAGGCTCTTCCTCGGGAGGCACAGCTAGCAGAGGGCAGGCACTGGGCACCTTGGAGTGAACTGAGGGCAGAGGGGCACAGCCCCACCTTCCCTCCACCCGCCCGACCCAGAGCCCCCCCAAGTGCACCTTTGCTGAATTGAGATAGCAAAGAGGCTCTTGGGGTGAAGGATGATACTGGGCCGCCGAAGCTGGGGCTCGAACCCTGGACACGGTAAGGAACAGTGGGGAGAGGCTCTGGTCTCAGCCCAGCTCTGCCCCAGCAGGCTCTGGCCTCCTGCTGCAGCTCACCTCCGTCTAATGTCAGGCATGCCCTGGTCCCCCTGGATTGGGGGACAGGGTCCCCACCCACAGCTAAAGCAACTAACACTAATAAAGAGGTGTCCTGCCCACCCCACCCCACGTAGCATGAGTGTTCATTTCCTGTAGGCAAGCGGGGGCAAGGGGGCAGCTGGTCCTGACCAGGAGCCTGGGACCCAGTTTCTGCCTCTGGTACCAGAAAGAAATGGGAAGCGAGCCAAGGAGGGTCTTTATTCAGAATCACTTTCTCTGAGGCCCCTGCCCCGAAGAACAGAAAGGGTCTTGCCACGAGAACCACCCCGTCCCGGCCTCGCATCGAGAAGCCCCAGGTGCAGGTCAGAGGTCGCTCTCCCCGTAGAGGGCGCTGGAGAAGGCCACGTAGTCCAGGGCTCCGGCTGGGGCCCCGGAGCCCTTGTAGGGAGTCATGCGGCGGATGCAGTACTCGGCCTGCTCGGCCGGGAGCTCCCGCCGTAGCTCCTCCGAGGTGATGTAGCTCTGGGGAGCAGGGGCAGGTGCCGCCGCTCACTCAGCTGGCCAAGCCAGCCTGCCTCCTGCCCACCCCCACCAGCTACCACCTCCCCCCACCCCCACCTGGCTCACCTTGTCTCCAGCCAGGATCTTGAAGGAGGCCACCACCTGCTCAGCCGTGTCTGTCTCAGCTGTCTCTCGGGTCATGAAGTCAATGAAGGCCTGGAAGGTCACGACGCCGGTGGCGTTGGAGTCCACCATGGTCATGATGCGGGCAAACTCCACTTCCCCCTGTAAGACAGGCCGGGCACAGTGCCCAAGGTGGTAAAGCCAGGGCAGCTCCCAGTGCCCCTTCTAGGGCGCCGATCAGCTCACTCTGCATGCCCCCCCACCCTAGTCCTCAAGAGATGACCTCCTGTTGCCTCAGCCAGTGCTGGCTCTGGGGGCTTCCTACCAAGCCAATGCCCCCTGCTGCCCGGGGCTACACGGACCCCTCTCTGTAGTCAAATAAGTGGTACTAGCTCCATTATCAGCTGGTACCTCCCTGGGTCCAAATCTTAAACTGAGGATATTCCAGCAAGCTCACTTACCTCTCTGAGCCTTTCCTCGCCCCTGTGTAAAATGGGGGTAGTTTCCGAACCACCGGAGGTGACGAGGTTTGACTGAGGGGCTCCCTGGGGCAGGTGTGGGGGGGTCACTCACCAGGTCGTAGCCCATAGAGATGAGGCAGGCACGGAAGTCATCGGGCTCCATCATCCCATTGCGCTTCTGCAGGTGGGGTGTGGGCATCAGGCCCCGTCCCCCAGCTCCATTAGCTCCTTAGCACAGCACCCCGCCCCCAGGCCCAGGCCCCGCTGACCCGGTCGAAGTGGTTGAAGGACGCCCGGAACTCATTGAGCTGCTCCTGGCTCAGGCCCTTGGCGTCCCGGGTCAGAACCTGGTTCTCCACCTCGTTGATGGTGCGGGCGATGGAGGTGAGCAGCTGCTCCCAGCCCACACGGATGTGCTGGGAGAGGAGCCGCCAGTCAGTGGGCGGCCCGGCCCCACTCCCAACCTGCTGGGTGACCCTGGGCCAGTCCACAGAGCGTCTTCCAGCGGCCCTTCTGCCCCGGCTAATCATGTGTCGGCGTTCTGTGACTCACTGTCCCCATGGGGTCACTTCCCCTCTGTGGACCTCAGCATCCCCCCTGGGTCCATGAGGGTCCTGGCCGAGCTGAGCTGGGGACCCTCCCAAGTCGAACAAGCTCTTTGCTGTTGAGACCGCCCCAGGGCCCCTCCAGCCGCCGCCTCCACCCCTGCCGGTGGCCGTGAGGCACCTCCATGCTGTAGACGGTGTGCTTGTTGTCAAACACCAGGCTCTCCTGCAGCAGCTGGTGGTCGCCCTCCAGCCGGTCAATGTTGCTCTTGTAGTTGATAATGTTTTGCTCCTGTTGCCGCAGCCCGGCCATCTGTTCCTCCAGGGAACCCATCATCCCTGTGGCCAGGCGCCCCACCTCCTACAGAGGGAGCTGGGCTGCACTGGGCTGCCTTGCCATCAGTAACTACTCCCTACCCCCGCCCTGCCCATGCGGGATGAGGGTTCCCGGCTCCCCAGGGGCCAACCCCCCCCCACGCCACTGAGCCCCTACCTCCACCTTGCCCTGAATCCACGGCCCGATGGCGTTGGCCTGGGCTGCAAACTGTCGCCGAACCCTGTCGTTCATCTGCTGGCGGGCCAGCTCCTCCTGCAGCGTCTGGTCACGACTGGGCACCAGCTTGCGGACCTGGGAAGGAGGTGGCTGTGCCAGGGGCAGCTCTGGGGAAACTAGCCCTCCAAACCTCCATACTTGCTGTCTTGGGCAGTGTGACTTTGGGCAAGCCACCCAACCTCTCTGGGCATCCAGATCTTTGTAAAATGGGACCGCTGACATGAGTTATATTGGAACCCAGGTGGCTTGAGAGAGGTGGCCCCCACACATGTACCCAGATAGGAAAACAATGCTGCTGTGGCGGCCATAAGACGGGCAAGGTGTTCATTCAGTGTCTGGTGGAGTCGGTGGCAGACCCCAGACCCCAAAGTGGCCACTCCTCTCCTTTCTCATGAGATGTCCGAGGTGTCAGAGTGGGAAGGAGTAGAGTGGATGGAGAAGGGGAGTTGGGTGGTACTGACCGTGTCCCACTTGCTGTTGATGTCCTGTGGGGTGAGACTGATGTAGGGGTTGGTGGGGCTGAGCCGCAGGCCGTATGTCTGGCAGATCTTCTGGATCTCGCCTTGGATGCCCAGGATGGCACCACGCTCGCGGTCAGCCTCGGGTAAGGTTGCCTTGAACTGCTCGTGGGCCGTCACCAAGCTCTGGGAGGGTCACAGGCAGGAGGCCTCAGCTAGCACCCCCACCACCCGCAGGCAAGAGAGGGTAGCAGGTCCCAGGACAGGTTTTCTTCCTTCTTCCAGTCCACCCCTACCCCCGGGCCCCAGGCTGGCTGAGGGGCAGATACTATTGCGTCCACCTGGGTCTCCTCCACCGAGTGCACCAGCCACACGTCCTGCAGGTCCTCCACCGCGCTGTCCAGCCAGTTGTTAAAGGGCGCCGCCCGCCGTGCAAACTCCAGCTGCAGCTGGTCAATGGTCTCCAGCAACTTCTCCATCCGCTGGGGGCCGCGGGGAGGGCGGGTCAGCGGCCTGCACAGCCCCAGGCCTCTTGCCCCTCCACTCCCAGATCGGGGGTCCCCGGCCGCACCTCTAGCGCGTCCCGTCTCTTCTGGGTCAGCGTGCCCAAGCTGTCCCACTGGTCGCAGATGGCCTGGCAGCGGCTGTTCACTGAGGCCGCCTCATGGTAGTCCAGCTCACTGGGCCGGGGACAAGAACCAGTGTGGGGACAGACCTGGCCCAGACAGCCTCCTGACTGCCCTTCTGGGACTTGAACCCAGGCTGCGGACAGGCGCGGTGGCCCTTTCCTGGCAGCATCCTGGGGAGAAGGTCACCACGGCTCCAATCTCCAGGGGGTCATAGATGGAAGAGCAGGGCCAGGTGCTTCAAGGGCGGGTTCTGTGAGGGAAGCGGGGCTACAGAAGGAGGTGGGGCGTCCAGGGCAACTGGGGAAGGTTTGGGGCAGACAAGTTAGGGGTCAGGCCAAGTCAGGGACTGGTCGGTTAGAATGTGGACTCAGAGGGGTCCGGAGACAGGGGCGGGACGAAGCAGAGCGGATTGGGATGGGGGAAGACTTGGGTACCAAAGCTGCGAGACTGAGGGCGGGGCCTTCGGAGCCTTGAGGCGGGTTCAGGATAGTGCCCCGCCTACTCGAGCTGGACCAATTGGAGGCGTGTCTCCGGGCTGGGCCCTGCAGCAACTCACACCTACTTGAGCACCGCGGCCAGTGGGCGGGGCTCGGAGTTGAGGGGGTGGAGTCCGGGAGTGAGCCACGCCTACTTGAGCTCCTGGGCCAGCGCAGCGATGTGCTCCACGCGGTCCTGGTGCGCAGCCAGGTCGCTCTCAAAGGCTTCGTGGCGCCGCAGCAGCGCCCGCACCTCCTGCAGCGAGGCCGACTCGTAGTCGCGCTGGTTTAGCATCTCTTCCTTCCCTGCTCAGAGAGAAGCCCGCTCTGGTCACCCAGTGGCAGCCCGAGCAGCTGGGACAGTGCCTGGCACTTGGTAGCCCCTCAACGAATATTTGCCAGGTAAATGAACAGTGAATACAAAAGTGCTTTGTAGGTGATCATTACTCTAATTATTCAGAATATGCATTGCAGACACCATTTATGGGGTGCCCCTGTCTGGTATCGCAGAGGGTTAAACAGTGGGCTTCTAACCAGGTCAGCAGTGCAAACCCACTAGCCAGTCCCCAGGTGAAAGATGAGGCTGTCTGCACCCTTAAAAATCTATTGTCTCGGGAACTCTCAGGGGCGTTCTGGTCTACCTTACAGGGTTGCTAAGCCATGGGTTGGGTTGGGTTTGCTGTATTTTACAGAGGCGGTCCACTAAGGTTTACAGATGTTAGCGACCCACACAAGGCCACATGACACATCCAAAACTCCCTGCTTACCCACTACACCACTGGTGACTGTATACTTATGAGATACTTACTACAGTATATCCGATCATTGTTACTCCTTATGCCTACAATCCCTTCTTAGGGTTTGTTCATGATTTTTAGGCCAAATGCAAACCTAACCCTAACCCACTGACCCTGTGGGACGGAGTAAAGCTGCCTCCTGTGAGTTTCTGAGACCGTAACTCTTTACAGGAGCAGAAAGCCTCGTCTTTTGCCCGTGGAGAGGCCAGTGGTTTTGAACTGCTGACCTGTGTTTAGCAGCCCAAGGCAGAACCCACTGCATTACCAGGGCGCCTGTAATTTTTTAGGCAGGAGTCAGTTATTGGTAGGACTATCCTCTTTGGCAGAACACAGCTTCGGGTCTTCTTCACACAGGGCTACCCGGACTCATGATACATTTTCCGTGACAAATGATATGAAGGTTAGGAACTCATTACCTTTGGACATCAACTACACAGACAAATAAAATGCTAAATGACAAATGAATGAGAGGAGACTCATGGAAGGCCAGAGCCAGGAGGAATTTCGGGGCCTGTGACCCAGAAAGGGGCAGTGACTTGTTCAAGGTCGTACAGCACGTCGGGGGCATGTGCTGGAACTAGAAATCCGGCCTGCAGCAGCTGCCTCGCAGAGCACCTGGCTCTGTCCTGCGCCTGTTGCCAGGACCCTCTTCTCTCTACCTAACGTCGTCCCCACCTAACGAAGAGCCGAGGCCACGAGGTGGCCCTACCTCGGGTCCAGGCTTCATGGAGGGAGGCCTTCTGCCGGAACTTCTCGGCCAGGTGCTGCAGCCGCTGCAGCCGCCGGATCTCTGAGAGCAGCCAGTCCTCGTAGCCCTTCTCCGCCTGCTCCAGTCCTCTCCAGGCGTTAGCGATGTCCTGTGGGGCAGGTAGATGTGCTCTGCATCCCTCCTTACCCACTGTACAGATGGAGAGAGGGGTCCAAGATCCCCACACACACACACACACACACAGCGGGCATGGCTAGCCGGGCATGGCTCACCGACACCAGCTTGCCCTCGGAGGGCATGAAGGCAGGCCGGTGGCTCAGCCGCAGCTTGGTCTGCAGCGTGTTGAAGTTGATCTCCAGCTGACACTTCTCCTGCACACGGGGCGGCTTGTGCAGGCGCCGGTAGTCCCGGAAATCCTCTAGCTTGCGCTGCATGGCACTCATGCTGGGCTCCCCCGTGCGGTTCTCCAGCCAGGGCACCGTGCGGCGGATCCACTCCAGCAGCTGCCAGGGCCGGGCAGAGTGGAGCGCTGGGAGGCCTGCCCGCCCTCACCCAGCCTTCTCCACCCACACCCAGGTCCCAGCCAGAGGGAGCACTCTCAGGCAGGTTGGGGGACACGAGGGGTGGCGGACTTTCAGAAGGGAAGCCCACCCTATTTTGGGGAAGGAGGGGGTGATTCCTTTCAGGGTCCAGCGTCCAGTCTGGGTGACAGAGAGCAGAGGGCCACCCAACACCTGAAGATGAATGAATGGGTGCAGGGGTGGATCAGGGAAGGGCTGGGAGCCTGGGTGGGCAGAAGGGTGGGAGGAGACCCAGGAGAGGCCAAGGCTGCTGTGAGGACAGGGTGGGGTCTGCCGGCCCAGGCTGCAGAGAGCTCCAGGGTCAGGGAAAGGGAGAAGCCCTTTCTGGTCAGAGCCTTACCTCGCTGGCCAGCTTCTCGTATTCCTCCATCAGCTTCTCGTTTTCCTGGTTCACGGCCAGGACCTTGCAGATCCTGTTGGCCGCTGTCTCAGCCTGTGGCGGGGGCAGCCGAGAGCCAGCACTGACACAACCCATCGCGGACTCCCCCGCCCAGCCTCTCTCTGCAAAGTCCCTGAAGCCTGGGCTGGGGCAAGCAGGGGGAGCCCTGGGGGTGGCCAGGGGCACAGTGGCTGGCTAACCACAACCTTCGCAGTTTGAAACCACCAGCTGCTCCGAGGGAGAAAGACGAGGCTTTCTGCTCCCCTAAAGAGCGGCCCTCTCGGGGGAGCTTTAGCTTGTTCTGTAGGGGTCGCTATGAGTCGGAATGGACGGCAGTGAGAGGACACGCTGCCCCTCCAAGACCGAGTGTCTGCAGCAGGGACAGGGACCCTCCACCCACCTTGCACCAGGATGCTTCCAGATGGAGGAAGCAGCGCTCAGCTCAGGTGGCAACCGTGCGGCTTCCGTACCTGCTCAGCCCCAGCGAAGGCATGGTAGAAGCAGGAAACGTAGGTCATGACAGCCTTCTCGTCCGGCTTTGGGGTGTTGACGATGTCTGGGGAAGAGCAGGGAGGTGCTTACTGGCCAAAGTCAGGGAGGGGCATGTGCTCAAGCCCCCGCCCATGCAGCGATTGCCCTAGGGGTAGACAGCAGAGGGTGGAAAGATCTAGCCAGGGCCACCAGCCACAGGCTTGCCCAAACCCAGCATCGGCCTCTTTGCAGGAATGCGGAAGGGAGTGGGCCAAGGAGCAGATCCCACTGCCCTTCTGAGATCAGCCTCGAACTGTCTGTCTGTCTGCTTCCCATGTCCACGAA